CACAGCCAAACAGGAACAGACCAGATGAAGCTACTATGAGAAAAAGCAGAGAGAGCAGAACGTTAGAGATTGAACTAACAGATTCTGCAGAGTTCTTCTGGTCGTATATAAAGCTTGGAGGCAGCCTTTTAGCCTGTAATGTTTGTTTTTGTGTGTCCTGTGTTCTCCAGCCAAAGGAAGCCAAAATGAAGAACATCAGCAAACACATTCTGACTCCAAGTCCTCCGGCCTCGTTTCCAACCTGAGCACAGAGGATCTGGACCAGGAGCAGGAGAAGGTTTGCAGATCCCATCTAATGTCTCAGTGCTGTGATCGAGGCACTTGGTGACGGTAATCCGCTAACGAGCCCTGGACCTTCCCTGCAGGTTCGACAGCTGCTGGATCGGATTCAGAAGGCGGCGGCCTGCACCTGCCTGCTTCCTCTGGGTAAAGACCGGCTGTACCGCAGATACTGGATCATCCCCTCTGCCTCCGCTCTGTTTGTGGAAGAGGACTTCTCCGGACTGACCGAGGACATGCTGAAGCCACGCCCCAAACCTGAAGACGCTGCAGCTGAGGTGGATCAAAACATGGAGGCGGAGCCGTCAAGTACCAAGTCAGTCTTCAACTGAGATCACTGAAGGCTTCAGAGCTTTCTAACAATGACTCAGCTTGTTTTGCTTTTATAACCTGACAGCGGTTGTTCGGACCCTGACCTCCCCGGTGCTCCGGTGGACCGGCCCAACCAGTGGTCCTTCTACGGCTCAATAGAGGAGGTGGATCAACTGATCGAAGCTCTGAACCCTCGAGGTCACAGAGAGGGCTCCCTGAGGGAGGCGCTGCGGCAGGACAGAGACAAGCTGCAGCAGCTGCTGCAGACCTGCGACGGCAGCAGATACAGGCTGCAGCCCACACAGACCGGTACCACACGAAGCAAACCTTCTTTCCTCCGTCAGACCAGAACTGTTCTCTCACACAGCTCTGCTGTTTCTCTGTGTTCCAGGTGAAGAAGAGCTGCCAGCTTTCTCTGCATCAGCAGATACCCTGATGGAGGTGAGATTAAGAGACCTGCTGCTGGACCTGGAGGACCGCATCCATCAGGGATCCCTGGGGACTTTGAAAGTAGGTTCAGCAGGTCCCAGTGATGAATGCTGTGGAGCTCCTGATGGACGCCACACTCAGCCGTCTCATTTTCCCCTCTTTAAGGTGATGGACAGACAGGTTTGGCGCTCTGCGCTGGAGGAAGGAAACTACGAGCTTCTGGGATCTGATGGCAAAGAAAACGGCGTGATGAATGGTCAGGTGGAGCCGTGGGAGGTGGACTCGGCTCACCTCAGAACCAGAGAGAGGTGCAATGACAGGTAGGCGGCGAATCCAAGCCGACCTGCTGAATGTTTGTGTTCTTGGATTAAATCCATTGATTGAGGGTGTTGATGCTTCAGGCTGCAGGAGCTCCGCTGCGAAGCCTCGGCCACCTGCGGGACCAGCGGCAGCACCACTCCTCAGGCCATCAGCGGCGTGGTGCGAGTTCTGGCTCAGGCCCTCAGTCACGTTGAGCAAGGCATTGAGAGACGCTTCCTTAAGCCTCCTCTGGGTGAGTCTGGGGCTGCTGGTCTGAGCTTCCAGATCCTCTCATTTATCTGTGAAAACTCAAATTAACAAAGTTCCAAATAGGTTTTCTACCGTCTGGTTGAGTCAAAGGAAAAGTCCGGTCAGCAGGAATAACCAATGGATCATTATTTAAACCTAAAACTGATACGTTCGCAGTGATTTCATGAATTTAAAAAAATGTAAATTTTCCTCACGATCACAGAGTCTGGGAGCGGCCATTTTTGCCCAAATATAGTAGCCCCTCCCTCCTGCCATCTTCCGGCAGTGACGTCACGGTGCGGTAAGCCTAGCGCCATTCTCCCCGCTTTACAAGCTAAATCAAT